GTTTTGAGACAATATCGAATGACTAGTAACGCGACACGTTGCTGATATATCGACGTAAACAAGTATACCAGATGTCTCAAAGTTCTTCACTAGACTTCACTTTCCACCAGCCGCTATTTGTTTCTCTTTTTCTCCTTTCTTTTTCTGCCGTTTCTATTTCTTTGGTGATTTCGCCGGTGATTCTATAATATATGCGTATTAGAAAATTAAGCTATTAAATGCGTATTAGAAAAAGTACCTATTAAACACGTTTCTCATTGATATTCGTGTTGTCCGCTCCTCATTGATGTCGATTATGTAAATTTTTTGTATTTATGAATTATTTATTAGTTTATTTAACTTGATCAGAGCGTGGACGAAGCGTCGGGATACGCAACCGGTTGGGATTATTTTCCTTTGTTTGTGCGCTACGCTCTGCGTGTGTGCGCCTATAGTACATTTTACAATAGTATGACTACAACAATTAGAAACCTACTTTTATCATATTACTCACGCGCGATGACTCATTTCTGCCTTGATGGTAGCAAGTTAATCTTGACGATACGCTCGTGTATCAGTGTCGCAAATTCGCCGATCTGTCTGCCTGTAACGCTATTATACAAATGATTATTAGTCATTTAGCAGATTTTTTTGTTCCCTTTGCGTAACGCGAACGTTTTTCTGAAGTTTTCGTACCAGTCGGATTTCATACCAGTACTTCTCTGTAAATATCTATCCGTCTCCAGAAAGATCTCGGATAATAATGCGTAAAAATTTGTATCTAAAAGATTCTCGTTTCAACGAGAATGAAATTTCTGATTGCGATTAGAATAATGTACATACCTATATACAAAGTGCGATTTACTACATTTAAATATACAAGCCCGAGAAGAAGGAATGAAATTTTTTCGAGAATCAAATCAAATCAAGTTTGAAAATTTGTCTAGCGTATGACAACGAAAAATTAATGAGAAAAAATTTTACTCTACATTTTTTACTTATTCTTGAATGTAGGATGTTAATTGTTCTTTTCTTAAATACTAAAAAAAATTCGAAATTTATTCTTTTATCTAATACTAAAATTCTTTCTTTTCGATTTTTCTACCCTGTATTATACCCTATGTTACGTTCTCTAATTCTATTGGAAAATGTAGAAAAACGAAGGGATAATTTTCGATCGAAACTTTGCGAAATGAACGTTTAAGCAAAATAGACGTTCGAGCGGGAAAGAATGATTCTCCTCTCGTAAAAACGGAAACAGACGATGGGAATTTGGAATCTTGGGAACGAAGGCAAGTTTAGCTCGGACACAGGTATTATCCTCTGAGCAGCGTCGCGTAACAGGTTTTAAATTTCGTCCCGGTACACATGTAGACATTCGACCACCCTCGCGTACTTACCTGTAAACGCGCCTTCACAGCGTCGATGCTCTTGAGAGAGAAAGACAGAGACCAAAGGAATAGAGTAAAAGGGAAAAAAAAGCGTCGCTAAGAGAGGAAGAGAAAGAGACAGAGAGAGAGAAAGAGAAAGAGGAAGCAAGAGAGCGTGATAAGAAAAAGACTTGACCGATCGATCGACGAGTATCGAAATAGGCAAGGTACACAACCTCGTGCTGGGGAATGTAGCGAGTTTAGCAAGTAAGTACGTTTCCTTCGCTTCTTTCATCACGCGTCGATCGCGTTGTTTTTCTACCGAGAAGTCAGGACGGGGGCCAAACTCGGTGTCGTTCAAAGTTTTCAATGTCGAAGGTAACGTCGCTCTCTTCCTTATCTCTCTTCCCCTTTAGTTTTTCCTGCGTTTACCACCTCGTTCGTTCAAACGCGAGATAAGAGCGTCGCGTGTAACATTTTCTTCACATCTCACCAGATAGGCAGGTAGGCAGGTAGGCAGGTAGGCAAGCACAGGCAACCACCAGCGTGTCCCGTCTGTTTCATTTTTTCTTTTCTTTTCACGTTCCGTCTCTGTCATTTTCCCTTTTTTCTACGTAAAAAAAATCCAAGACGTAACCGAGAGACTACCGTACCGTAATGTATCGTATGCGTTGCACGCTCTTGTGTCTCTTACCTCGCCACCTCGAAACTCTCGTTCGTTCATCTCGTTCTTTTCGCGATTGGGTCTCCGATCTTTGCCGCGCGCGTGCTTCTCCTCGTCAGTTTGTATTTAACAGCTTGTGTACGCGCACTCCCACTTGTCCCGTAACGTCGTAGCGGCTGCGACAGTGGCGGCGGCACGGCACTGGCACGCAGCAGCGACGCAAGTGCCTGTTGACTGTTAGCTTTCGTTAGTCGCCCCTGGATCCTTCGTGTCTCGGGTACTACTGCCACTGTGAGTGACACAGCAGCCGGCCGTCAAACTGCAGCAAAACTGTTTTTCCTCCTTCTTTCCTGGTTTGAGAAAGAGAGACGCGATGTATCTGCTCGAATAAGTTGTCACGCGTGCCAATCTCTCTCTCTCCACCTCCTCTCCCCCCTCTTATTGCCGTTCGCGCACGTGAATCGTCGCTACTTGTGTATACATTTCTACCGCGCTGTGTTTTTTGACGCGATTCCTGTCAGCTCTGAAGGTCGAGCCGACATCGGACACACCAAACTGTCGGGAACCCGCTGCTCGCCATTGCGACTTTATTTATTCCAACCTGTCGACCATTCAATCGTTCTCAAGTGCGTGGTGCCGAGTGCCGAGTGAAAAATTGCGAGTACAACAAGTACAGTGTTCAGAGTGCGAGCTAGTCTGACCCTTCTACTTGTACGCGGATCTCCAAGTCGCTGAACCTCCGAGACTTTCCCCGTGGATATTCAAAAAGCATCCTTCAAAAAACTTTTCTACGTATTTTACGTACACCTTTGTGTTAATGAGTCCTCCGCGCACAAATGGTCGGCAATTGAAATTAGTCCACCTTCGCCGCAGTTTGTCTGTTAAACGCCAGCTTGCCTTAAACGTTGTTCGTTGCATTATCTCGCGTATTGTGCGTTCGATCGTCGATACGTTAATTCCGAATTAATTCATTCGGTTGAATCGTCGAGTTTACTTTTACCTAGCATAGGCTCGAAAGAAATCTTGAAACAGTCCGCTTTTTTTTTTTTGATAACGTCGCCGATTATTCGCTCTCTCAAAAGAGAGAAAACTGATTCGAGCTGAAGTCTTGGAAATAATAAGTTTCCCGTTTTCAGCACGTTCGTCGATATACAACGAGAAACTCGCCGCTTCGTCCGCTTACGATCGATCACATATCTACACTTTTTTTTCGCGGATGCTCACACATAAAAGCGTAAACATTCTCAATTTCGTACGTTATTTATGCACAAGAGTTTCTTTCGCAACATCGATAAAAAAACATCAAACACAAATTCGATACTTAACGTTTCCTCCTTTTTTTTTTTTTTTTTTAAATCTCTCACGTTCTCTTTCTCTCTCCCCTTTTGTTTCTCTATTACGTTATATTTTCCCCGCGATGTTTGGCACTTTATCGCCAAATTCCACTCGCTCGTTGTTGTTCTAAATTTAGTCCTCTAGTAACTTTCGCAATTAGCGACGCCCTTTTCGACTAATTTAATTTTCCATTCGCACACGTACGCGTGACTCAAGTTTTGAAAGAAATGTTTGGAAGAACGCGATCAACAATCGCTGTTTCACAACCGTTGCCGATCGTTTTGTAACGGCATGCGTAAAATCTGATTATAACAAGCGTACACAAATCGAACGCGTCCTTGTTTGGTGCGTCGAATACTCGGAATAGCCAAGTTTTCTTCCTCTCGGTTCCCGTAGCGAGCTGGTCGCGATTTCTTTCTTCTCGCGACGGCGGATGATGAATCGGGTGCGCGATCGCAGCGACTCGGAGGACGAAGAACTGGCTTCCAGCCGCGAATGACAATCGGCACGCACTTGAAATTCTATATCATCCGTTTAGAGAAACGGTTGAGCGGTTAACACCCTCTGAATCTTAATCCTCTCGGTACGCGTGACTCTTGAGAGATTGATGGTAAGGGATTCTTTCATTTTTTACGTTGTTTTGTTGGGTTCGATCGCGCAATTCCTTCAAAATGAGTAAGTAGTCGTCGAATAATTAATTGTTATGTATGTAAATAATTATTATATTATATGTGTAATATAAAACTGTCATAAAGGTTTTGCAAGTAACTGTACAATTCTATTGTGTCAACGCTGTAACGATCGAACCCGTCAGTATGACTGATTTCAGACTTTCGTTTTTTTACGAGTGATTGACAGATACGGGTATTGTTGTCAAAAATTAATATTAATTTATTTTGATACGTACGCGTGACTCAAGTTTTGAAACTTAAATTATGTGATGATTTGTACGTAAAATATTTCGATACCGTGGTTCTAACGTTAATAGATATTTTCATTTGTTATTAATATTTTATATTAATATTTTTTTGTTAATTAGACCACAGTCGAGTGTATGAAACGTCCATGAATGTGTAACAAGAAATATGTATCATTTGTTAAAACTGTCATTGCAAAAGTTTTACAAACAGCTGTGTGCAGTTGATATTATTTTAATAGACAATATGACCGATTTTAGATTTTCGTTTTTTTTACAAGTGCCTAAAAATTTAATATTGATCTCTGTTTAGACAGGGGCGCAGTTTAAAGCATAAATTTATTTATTTCAATTGTCATTTAAATGATAACGATTTAAATGACGTGGAATATTTTAATTTATATTTTATATTTTTGTCAAACCAAAGTCAATATATGTACGTACGTGTGACGTAAAAGTGTTGAGTACAAAGTGTAAAGTAGAACGAAGTCTGCGACGAGAAAGTAAAGAGGGATGCGAGGGTAAAGCGAAATTGTAAAGCGAAAAAAAAAATTTCCTTAGTTCGAGGAGACACAGTCGCGAAACAAATAAGATTATCGATGGTGGTAGCCCGAAACTTCGAACCGAAAAGCCGGGGGGAGGGGGGGGGGAGGGACCGGCTGTGTCGAGCGAGAGAGCCGAGCGTTCGCAGAATTCTGTAGTGACCGTTTTCAACGAGGTTCTCTCTATTGTGCAGGACATTGACTAGAGGTAGAAGACAATTAAGAAAGAAGAGAAAAGTGTTCGCCTAAGAGGAGAATTTTCGGAGGAGGATGCTCGGCAGTTGGGGCTGGGAAGAAGAATTGGAGTTGGGAGAGGGAACAGCAACCCCGTCGCAAGATAGACAAAGACGAGAGAGCCCAGACTCGACGCATCCTGTCCCCGACAGCCGGGTGCTGAGGTATGCACCCAGCCGGTGTCATCACCCTCCCAGCTTCAACTCGCCACATTTCAGCACACAGCCTCCTCTCGACTGTACCGACTGTGAGTATATACTCAGCTGCGTATGTACTTACTTACTTATTCACGCCTTATGTACGTACGCATGTACGTATATAACGTACGTACGTAAGAACATTACTGACTTTTGACGTTTTTTTAATGTTTCTTTCACGTTCTAACGTGTAACACGTATACACGCAGAGGAACGGTTGCCGATTCATAAATTCACGTTGAGGCGCAGCTTCGTCAATTCAATGTTAACGTTGATCCGCAGAGCAGCGTGAGGTGGCCAAAATGCTGACTGCTCATTCTGAGATGCACGAGAAACGAGATCCCCTCGGAGGCGGACAATATGGAACAGGCGGGGGTGGTGGCGGCAGTTCGATCGAGGAAAAATCTATTGCGGAACAACCACCCCCGCCGCCGGCGCCTCCCCAGCGGGATCCATCGGATCCAACGATCAGCGCTAAGAAACTTCCAAAGAAGCGAAAGTTTGATCCATCGGAGCTCGAGGAGATGGATAAAACTAGCAACGTAACGAGAACCATAAATAACATAGTGAACACCGTACGGGCACCGAACATGCCACTTGGTCATTCAGGCTTGGTTCAGCAGTCAACGTTAGCGACTCGGCAATCTCCGCAACAGCAGGACTCCCAAGATTGTTATCAAGTAAGTACTGAGCACTTGTGAGTCTCAGTAATCGAAGGTCATACGTGAATGATGGTGTCAATGACGACGAGTGACAAATGCTTTGTTTGTTGTCCAGGTATCCTCGGCGCATTCGGTGGTAGTTTTACCACCTCAAAGTACAGCAGTGGATTATTCTGTTCGAGAGGAGCCTTTACGGTCTCGTCCTCGGCCTGCTACTGTTGCTATTGATCTCAGCGAGTGGCGCGACCACAGAGTGTTAGCATTAAGGGATTCATATTATTATTCAGGTGTTATTCGCAATGTTGTTCAAGGGGAGATTTACATAGAGTTCGACGGCGAGAAAAAACTAATGCGTTACACTGACGTTTTGGGCGCGGGCAGATACGACGTGATAAGTGATGCCAGCCCCTCGGTTGGCCAAGTGACTCTAGACGCGAAAGTTTGTATTAGGTGTCCAACGTCGAACAATCATATCAACGCTGCTAAAGTGTTTGTTAAAGGGACAGTGTGCAAAATTTTAACCAAGCCTAACCGTTTTGTTGTTAAAATACCAAGGGAAGACGAGCAGAGCGATAGTTACGTCGTGAAACGCGCGGATATACGGTTGGTGCAGCCCCCGTGGTGGGACGAACTAGAGGAAGGATTGGAAGACTGTGATTCCTCGAGGGTCGAAGCTATTGGTACGGCATGCGAATATCTTTTTCTGTTTCTTTTTTTTTTTTTTTTTTTTTNGAGTAATTATCAAAAAAAAAAAAAAAAGAAAAAAATCAAGGAAAAACACGTCTAGAATCTCGAGAAAATTCGAACGATGAAACGTTGAAGATGTATCGATAATGCTAGTGTGTCCTTCGACTAGAATCATTTTGAATGCCGTCGTAGATAAATGCGTGCTCTAACATTCTAGTCTGAGAAGAATAGACGACAATGGACGTTCAAGTCGGACGAGATGAAAATTCAAATTAATTCATGTTGAAACATTTCTCCTTCTGATGAAACATTTCGAAGATGTGTGTGCCAACTTTACCGTTTTCTTTCCTCGACTAGAATCACACTTGCTACGCGAAATGTGTACTCTCTGGGAAAGATAGAAGGCAATGGATGTCGGACAGGGGAGAGAGAAATGATGGACAGGCGAGTTACGCGCATGCAACCGGAATATTCCCGCAACACGGTCGCGAGCAACGTTTCCCTTTTCGCCTTTTTCGATGTACGCAGACGATGCACGTACCCGCATTGGGTCCCTACACCGCGAAATACAAAGTGCGTTCGTTGAAAAGCGTTGTCCGGATGGCGACAAACGAACAAAGAGAGAGAGTTAGAAAGGATACGCGGACCCGACTAGTCGGAAGAAGAAGAAGAAGAAGAAATAGAAATAGAAGAAGTTCCCTTGTCGCTGAGCGTCGGACTAGTGCCGTTGTAAAATTAACTTTGAGTCGCTCCGTGCTTGTAATAACTCGCGATTGTTATTTATTTATTTATTTATTTTTTTTTCTTTTCAGACCGAGGCACCAGCTTACCCCGATTCATTTTTGTGCACGATTAGGCAGTGCTTGGAGAAAGTTTCGCAGATATGTAAAATGAGCTTCGCGTGGCTGTCGTTCGTCTCTCTCTCTCTCGCGTCTCCACGTTCTTCGTCTTTTTTTTTTGTTTGTTCTCCTTGTTTTTTTTTTTTTTTTTTTTCTCTTTCATTTAACCACACCCTTCAACTTAGGGGGATCTTACTTCCGTTTTCAATTTCAACGTGTTGCCTTATTCTTGCTTGCGCAGAACATGGCTATCGAAATTCTTCAGAACCTCCGACAGCAGTGCCAATTTTGCAACTCCATCACACTTCTCACCATACATCTCATATATCGACTCATAACGACACAGGTGGTTATTACAGAACAACTGGTACCAGCCCCCTAATGACTTTAGGCACTTCCGCGCATTCTGCTACTGCGGCATTGAGTAACGGAAGTCGGCCGTACGATGATTTAGAAAGCGAGGATGACTTGGACAGGGAAGATATTACATTCCCTTCGGATGCAGGTAAGATCAAATTCATCACGTGTTCATCGAATGTGCTCCTTTCCTTGATAACGAATTTTTAAAGAATTTCGTATACATTATTATTACGGTTGTGATTATCGAGCGCGACACATTAAAGTAAAACCAATAGTAACGTAAATATTCAACTGACAGATGCAAAATTGTCAGGCAGCAGTAAAAGAAGCAGCATGCAAAGTCGGGGAAGTACCAGCAGTCTAGTTGAGCAACGCAGTATAACTCCTCGTTCTCAAGCAGCCACGCCCAGGTAATGACGATTATGAGATAATATCCCATCGCGTTTCAAATGAAATGTAATATTTGAGAACGTAACGATCGATCGTTGAACAGATCTCAGGCGGCAACGCCACATAGATATAAAAAAGGTGATGTTGTGGCTACACCAAGTGGAGTTAGGAAGAAGTTCAACGGTAAACAATGGCGCAGACTCTGTAGTAAAGAAGGATGTTCCAAAGAAAGCCAACGAAGGGGATACTGTTCTCGTCATCTTAATTTGAAAGGATCTTGCCTCAGAGGTCCGACCAACACTTTCTCTGGGTAAGAAGAAACCAACTAATAATCCGCAATCATTGTCGCGTGTATTATAATAATATTACGTGTATGCGTTAAACAAGAATATTTCTAGCGGTAAGATGGATGGTGAGGAAACGTCTAGAGATTCCGACACATCTCCAAATTACGGAGATAGGAGAATTGCTGGTCGATTTGATCAAGACGAAACTGAAGCTGCCAACATGCTCGGTAACTTTCCCAAACTTTTACATTTTTCTTACGGAGACATTCGAATTTTAGAACTTAGCCGTACGTAATTCAGGTGTAATGTTTTTTTTTCTTTTTTTTTTTTTTACAGTTTCCTTGGGAAGTTCTAGATCAGCTACGCCAGCCTTTTCCTCGCCAACTGGACAATCTTCGATATCCCCGTGTATCAATCAATCTCCAGTACCACCATTGGGACTGAATCAAAACAATGTGTTTATGCCTATTTCGAGTCCTGCTCATCATGCAACTCCGCTAATTTCGCCTGGTGCGAAATGGAAACATTCACCTACTCAATCCACTTTTCTTACTCAGTACCAGCAGCAGGTGATAAAGCCTGAACCTAGTCGAATGATTAAATCGAATCGACCAGCTCCAACTGCCCCAGTCCCTGCTAGTATAGGAACAAGCGTAATAAGAATCTCTCCCGTGAGCCGTGGAATACCCGGATCTAACTTAACCTCGTCATGGTCAGAACAAAGCCCACCGCCGCGACATCCATCAGTTGTGACGACTATAGCTCAACAACAGCAAGGCATCATTCTTCAGCATGCTCTCACAACAAATAATGGCTTTTCCAGCCACTCTGAGATATCAGAACAAAATCAACAAATACTGAAACCTTCTCATTCGCCTCATATGTCACTTTCCGCTCCAGCACCACAAAACTTGACCCTTTTGCATAAGCCTTTGGAACAACCAGTTGATTATGCTCAACCGCAAACGCAGAATCAGCCAATTTACGTGATGCAACATCAACATGAAAAAAAGTATCTTGTGATAAAAAATAGTATGGATGTATCCGCAGCAGGTCACATGAATAATCAAGATGACAAATATAGGCCAGCGTTAATGAACCACTTAGCTCAACTTCCAGCGACGTTACATCAAACGCAATGTCAACCTCCACAATCGCCTGCTGTTTCGTCCGTCCATGTTGACAAATTGTCCGTTTTTCAAGTGAGTAGCTTTACCATTGTAATTTCACTAGTAATGCTTTTTTCATCGTGGCATCGAAATATGATTGTTAGGCAAGCAAAGTAGCAACACACGCATCCTCTCATATGGATATGCAGAGAACACAACCACCACCTACGAGCGTTGTAATGACGACCACTACTGAAGCTTCGAATCCGCCTACTCCAACAAGTGTCTTCCAGCACGTGATTGTACAACCCGCGCATTTGGTACAAATTCCTAAAACACAGTCGTCTAGGGAAGAGAATTCCAAAAATAACGGAGTTCTGTGTAAGTTTATCGACATTCTCCCTTATCTGTCCTAAAGTCCTCCTTTATCTATTATCTTGTTAAATGTTTATCTTCCGTTCTCAATAGCAGCGATTACGTTAAAGATTTGCTTTTAATTTGTACTTTTTAATTTGATCAAGTATAATTTCATTGTGCAATTACCACGAAAATCTGATATAGGATAAAATGTCAGACAATTGTCTATGAATTTATTTTATGGCATGCTCACATTTACATTTCAATTATGTTTCATTTCACCATTCTGCATTAATATCGCAATATTAGTGAATTTGACTAAACGGTAAGGCTTTCACAGATGGCAGCCATGATGTTCCTCCTGCATACCAGCCCCATCCCCCATCATTACTGAACAATGCAGTGCGCAACTGGAAAAAAGGTTTGAGTTTTAACTGCCAAACAAAATGTATGACTATTTTCACATTTGTTGTAAAGTATGTTGTCAATGGTACATATGATTACATAAGTGAAAAATGTAAGCTTTGCTTGACAATTATTTCAAAAATTTTATGTTGGAAGGATATTCTTGCATAGTCGTAAGATTATTGGAAAAAAGATTAATATTATTTTATTTTGCTTGTGAACAACTGAAATAAATTACTAATAATTTGTATTAATACTTGTAGCATAAAAATCTATAGATAATAACATTATTGATGACATAATTTAACTTGTATTTTTTGTACATCCTTATTTACATATGTATATATGTATATTTATCGAAATACATTAGGACTTAATTGTTATGATATCATTGTGAATAAAATAAAGTAAATTTATAACTCATATCTCGATAGTTTTATAGTTTCTCACAGTTATTCAGTTTTAAAGGAATGCTTATGAAACATACAAAATGTATCATTGTATATTTTACAGCGAATGCAATTGATTATTTTTTTGGTCATGTTTGAACAATATAATTACATAATATATCTCATTCTTCTTTAATTAGAATACAAATCGTACATAATATTTCATGTTCAATGTTACTTTAATGTTGGGGAAGGGTGACTAGTAATTTTTGCTCATTGGATTTCATTGCATATCTGATTGGTACAAAAGGAGAATTATGTTAAAATTATGTCTTGAAATATTAAAGGAATTCAAAGTATGATAATCTTTTAAGCTGTCATTTGGAATTTATATTTATACTTTATGGTAATGTTAATTACATCGGTGATTTCATTTATACAGTACAGTTTATTTTACACCAACGCGTATTTTCATTTCACGCCGTTATTAACCAAAGTGATTGTAATCTAATACGACAATTTCATTGCAGCTTTTCCTTGGCAAACAACAGTACTAGATCAATCAGAAGTGAGTCCTCCACCATCTGCGTTGAGCCCTCCTTTGAGTGCGCCTCCGATTCCAATTAGCATGAGCACACCTGGTGAAGATGGATCCGGACCTGGTCCAGATCCTATAACTCCCGCTGAGGAAGAAGATGACGACGTTTTCGAAACAGAGCCGACTACCCCTGCAGAAATTGAGGCGAATGCTAACAAGAGACGCAGTCAGTCCCTTAGTGCATTGCATTCCAAAGAGCCTCAGAGTCCACTTAAAGTGAGTAATGGTATACTTAAAGCAAGCAGATGGCAAATATAACGGCTAAATTTGTTTCAATATAATGTAGTGAACATTCAGAAGCGTAAGAATTTAATTCGTCGACATTTAATTTCACAGACTAAAGACAGAATACGTCGACCGATGAATGCATTTATGATATTTTCCAAACGACATCGTGCAGTCGTGCATCAAAGACACCCGAATCAAGATAATCGTACCGTGTCTAAGATACTGGGAGAATGGTGGTACGCCTTAGGCCCAGAGGAAAAACAAAAATATCATGATCTTGCATCAGAGGTGAAAGAAGCGCATTTTAAAGCGCATCCAGATTGGAAATGGTGTAGCAAAGATAGACGGAAATCTTCGACGACAAGTTTCAAAGGTGGCGACTCTCGAGGGAAATTGAACAGTACTGGGGAGGAAACAGACATGGGACCACCGGCAGACGACGTACCATTAACGCCTAGAGCTACGGACGAAATTACTGTTCCCGTTACTACTGTGTACAATGAAGCGCCCACCATCGAAGTAAATTTTATTCAAAACTTGAACGTCTCAATTGTCATACGTAACACTCACTTATAGTCTAAGTGTAATCTCTTTTATTTATAGGTTATTAATCAATCGCACACTCATAGAATAATGGAAATGCCTCTGCCAGTTGAAAATACAGACTCTGATTTAAAACAGGATGAAGATGGTAATGTATCAGACGAAGATCAAATGGTGATCTGCGAAGATCCACAACCTGAAATAGATTTAAAATGCAAAGATAAATTGACAGATAGTGATAATGACGTACAAGATGATGATGCTGAAAAGAAATGTTATACACAATCACGGTTCTCGCCTGTAAGTGGTCAAAAGAGGGAAACGATAAATGTCAAACAAGAAGTAACGTGTAGGCCTAAACCGATAAAAGGTTCGCTTTAATATCTGTTTAAGTGAAAACCGTAATGCATAATTACGACGTAGTATAGTATGGTAAAGTCAATTTCTCCGTTTGTCTAGCACGAATACCTTCAACAGGTATTGAAACAACAACAAAGTATCATCATGCTTCCATGGACAAAGGAGGGAATGTTTCGGTTCTATCCAGCACGTACCCTTATCACAGTCCTGTCAATCCAACTGGGGTATCAGGTTTCCAACCTACTGGTGGTGCTTTCATAACCATGCCAATATCTCCAAAGGTTGTTAAACCAGAACCAGTGAAGAATGAACAGCAGTACAGTACCCAATACAGCATGAGCAATTTGGTAGCAAGCATTCATGAAAACGGAAGGAATATACCTAAATTTACGGCTGCTCCGGTATTACATTCTGTAAGTATTCCAGCTGTGAGTGTTTGAAAGTGTATAATAGTAACATACATACCTAAAATAGTCCAGACGAAATGAACCTGTACACACAACTAAATTTAAAAACGTCTAAAATATTTTGTTCACCTAAAATCCTTTGTAAAAGTACTCCTTTTACGTTCAGGCATGTGTGAATAACTTAAAAAAAGAAAAAAAATTTCATGTTCGTTCTTTGAGTGAAGTACGAGTGATAATTGAAGAGCTCGTTTTAATGCTTAACCCTAATAGTTACAATAATTATGTTTCTTTCAAGCGATTAATTATTTATTATCATGAGAATGATTATTTCCACAATTGTCTGAAATACAAGGTATGAATAGTTACTATAATGTTTAAGCATAATTCGAGTGCTATTCGCACGTGCCTACTTACCTTGCTGCCGTATTATTATTTTTTTTCTTTCTTTTTATTTTTTTCTCTCTCTTTCTCTCTCTCTCTCTCTCTCTCTCTCTCTCTTTCTCTCACTCACTCACTCACTTCTTTCTCTGTCCAATATTAAAACCTGAATTGCGGGAGCAGCGGGACTCTTGGACCTTTTTCAAAGAGTCCCATGTAAACACATGCGAATAAACTCAAAGATTAAACTACAAAAGTTTAACGATACTGACAGATTGAATCGAAACCTATGATGGCTCTGTTTAAACAACAGCAGCCGTTGCAGTCCTTAGGCACTATTCTTCGTCCCCTTACTTCAGCTGTCCCTTATCAACCATCGTTCACTCTAACATTGCTCGATAACGATTTGGTGGCTGTTTCCAAACCGCAGCAGGGATCGCAGTATCTTGGTCCAACATCACCTCATCCCCGGATGTACTGTGGATTCCATATACCAATCTCTGGTAAGTTTTTGTTAAAATATAATCACTTCAAAAACGTCCCAATGTTAATGTATAATACATAGTATATGTGTCCATGTAAAGAGATTATAAAGCAAGACGATTTTTACAACGTATCATCTAAGTTAGCATCATCCCGATTAGAATTGATTGAATTGCAGACAGGATAAAAAGTAAATGCATATTGTCAATTATAGATGCTGGCAACCGGAACATATCCTCACAAGGTTTAGTTTCTGGTAATAAGATGGAAACGCAGAGTGTCATAGTGAGCAAACCATACCCAGTTTCGACAACTTCCACTACATCGACTTATCGAGGAATTGGTCATTCAGTAACACGTCTCGCAGAACCCGAAAAAAATGAGAATAATCATGCCCAATTTTATGGTAAGTTATCAGTAATTTCTTTCACAATTTTCCAATACAGAGCATTTTCCATGACAATGTATGTATCTAGAATAGGAACAGCTAGTAAATGTTTTTGTGATTCCTTTTCAGTAACTAATGTGAAATCTGATCAAGAAAGAAAAGATACCGTGAATATTCTTTTGCCTGCTACAAATGACAAACATAAACAGCCATCTACTCCACATACTCCTCATACACCACTCAGTAACCATGGTAGCAATGAAATTTCTGCAAATAAATCATATTCCATGGATGAAACACAGCCTAATGATATAGGTCCAAGTAAGGGTCCCTTTATGCTTGCTCCAACTCCGGCACAACTTGGCCGGGCGCCGCTACAAAGGAGACAGTCAATGGGTACAATATTTTATTTATCAATTTATATAGTAACAGTAATGCGTTTAACTTAATAACATAAACATAATCGTTAGTACAATAGAATTCATTTCTTAATAGAATTTCTAAGAGAAGAGTTTTTATACATTTCTATTTTTTGTACCAAAAAATAGATTTATATTTTGGTTTTTCTGTTTTTCGTAGCAATGCCTCCCGCATCAAATGCAGGAGACCATGGGCCTCTGGTGTCTCAACACAGTGACAATCGTCCACAAACAAATATATCTCAAACCACAGAGCAAATACAACAGCAGCAGAATTTCTCAGAATCTCACGCTTCCCCATCACCATCTACCAAAAAGGGTTCTTTCTTCAAGAAGAATGTCGAAGATGGAATGGACAGGTATGATGAATTGATTAATGGTAAATTAAACATTGTTTGAATCTTTTTATAAGTGCGTCGCTTATTTAAATTTACAACAAGTAAGTAAATGTGGAAAATATAATTAATTACAGAGTTCTCGAGCAAGTAAATTTCCAAGAAAAATTCTCATCCCTGCCAGAATTTAAACCAGAAGATATACAAAGTCCAAGCGCGATCAGCATTAATACACCGGGTTCGTCTGGCCCGGTAGTAACGTCTGGCTTGCATTCATCAAATTTACAATCATCAATGCAAATGCAAAGTTATCGAAAGAAATCTGCACAAGCACCTCATAGGCCCACAAGTAATTGTTTTAATGACATTGCAAAAGCATGATTCTTGCCCTTTAAACTTTTGCGTTCGCCTTAATAAAAATATTTTTTTGTTGAAACAGTGAATGAGGACGACATCGAATCAGATACGTCAATATCTGCTACTCCAAAATCAACTTCCAGCGTCAAGTTGACAGGAAACACGTTCTTTGGTCCAGATTTCAATGTTGATGCATACAGAACCAACACGGATCTGATTGGAGATGTCGACGCTGGCTCTCCTAGGACACCGAAAACACCTGGAGGGGGTGCTGGAAACTCTGTAGGACTCGGCAGGAGCGAAAATGAACGGGGCCATAGGAAAGTGCTGGAGCAACGTCGACATCTTGTGATGCAACTGTTCCAAGAACATGGTTATTTTCCTTCAACGCAAGCAACTACAACCTTTCAAGCGAAACATTCAGATATATTTCCTAACAAAACGAGTTTGCAGTTAAAGATTAGAGAGGTCAGGCAAAAATTAAAAGCTAATTCGACACCTATGAGTGCTAATAGTCTAGTGAGTCCACTACCTGTTTCTGAACCCTCACCTAACGTAACTGGTAATTACTCGATACTTTTTTATTTCTGAGCATGACAATCGTAAGAGAGGATGTATTCTGCAAAATTTCTGTCTTTATAGGACCATTGACTGCTCCTCCTACGTCGATGGGAGCTCCACATACACTGCCCGTAAGCAGTAGTGGTAGCTAGCGCCCACGTGCCAACTGTGATACTATGCATCCCCTTACTCCACAGCATGAGTACATCATTATTCATTGAAAAGAAAGGAAAGTTTTTATTGGAAAAATATTGTTGATGTACGAAGTTTTAGCGAGTTGTAAAGTGCTGCAAGGCTTTAGTGCAATTTGAACTCTGATGTAACCTGGTGCAGGTAATTTAGACAGGCATATCAAGGTGAGTTGATGTACACATATCAGTAAAAATCTTCATATTGTATATAAAATTGAAGAAATATTGTATCGAATGTTTCTCATGATTACTAATGTTGACTTAAACATTAAGTGTGTTCGAGTATCTGTGTTCCATTGGGATAATAACATGTAAAATTGTGAAATGTTCGCGTGATAAAGAATTTACTGTATTTTAGCAACGATAACGCTCACTAGTGAATTATAAAAGCTCAACCCGCAGGCTTAATCATATTGTCTTGTTTGATAATGAAACAAGGAAGGAATAATATAATCACGTAAAATAACTGTTTCGAAATGTGTAATTCGAAAAAGGAGCTTTCTTCTCTCAGAAGGAAAGACAATACTCTTCTGCATTCTAAATCCAAAGATGATTTATGAAATGGTAATATAGAAGCGAAGATATTATTTTACTACATTATAAAATTACAAGTCATAGTTGTAAAACTCCAAACGTACACGATCGATATTTGTACATCGAAACACCTTGCAAGGATAAAGGGAGGCCTAAGCCATTGTTAAACATTGTTAAAAAATACTATGAGATCCAAGTAGGAAGAAAGAGAGAGTATGCGTGAGTATAGAAAAATGAAGTTCGGCGTGAGTGTAAGACGTGTATGGGTGTTTCTTGAGAGAAAGAGGAAGAGAAAATTGTAATCAGAGAGTATTAGAATTAATGAAGCATTATAAAATGAAATCAGAGTTTATATACTTTAGTTATATACTTTATATATGATATAGATGAAAAAGAAAGCTATAGATGATGAAAGAACTGCGATAAAACATTGCACAAAATTTATGTAATTTCGCAGTCAACAGATATGTTTATTTTACTTGTAAATACTACGGCATGACTACTGGAAGAGGTATCTGAAAAATTTGAAATATCTATGATGCTGTGTCTGGCAATTTCCAATGACAATTGTTAGACGAATGGATTTTTTCGCTGATTCATAGATCATATTGCAATGGAAGTAAATATCGTGCCATTGTGCGGCGAAGGGATTCTATGCGTAATAAATCCCTTAATAGTAAAAAAAAAAATTAATTGTTAGATACCATTTGATATAGATAATATGTAATATGTTCACAATATTCTCGAAAGTACTTATCTACTGTTTTTAGAACTCTGCTCAACTTCAACGCATTCAATTTTGTTTTATAAACATTTTAAAATCTATATACTTTTTTCTTTACTTTTTTCTCTTGGCCAAGTTAGAGATGTAAGCGGTTTTATGCAGGTCGTGCTTTTTTTTTTTCTTCTATACTTTTTTTTTCTATTTTTTTTCTATTCTTTTTTTTTTTTTTTTTTTTTTTTTTGGCTTTAACAGGTAAAGGTAATTTCATCTTGACAAATTAAAAGATACGTTTAGTATCGGTAAGGACGAGGCAAAAAATTTGGAAGATAGATATATTTTTTGAACAAAAATTGTGACATGCCATTTTTATATAATGTATCGTTTCGCGGAATTCTTTTGCGAGTTCCCTCATTTTAGGAAATAATATTCACTATTGAAGATCTCTTAAGTTATTATTCTCTTCGGAGACGCTAAATTTTTTGAGCAATGGCTAAATAGTTTTCGTCGTCAGTGACTAATAATACGAACATAATAAATTAAATATTGTAAAACGCATTTAGCCATTATAGTAATAATTTCTGATCTTTGAACGAAAATATACGAAAAATATCCAAGATGTAGTAAACTGAAACAATTTTCCACCCGACTTTCAATAAACATATCATACGCAATAGAGAATACGTTTATTGCATAAATATTCTGTTAACAAGATGTCTCTGAAGACGTGCCGTTACTCTCGTCAAAAATTCCCGTCGAAATATTGCCGAGCTTTCCTCGACGAAACTTTCCTTTATTATCATTACAAACATCTGAGACCGTTCGAGAAAGCTACTTGAGATACGTCTAGCAGTCGATGTACTGCCACCGAATACCAGTCGAGCGACGTCGTTCGCGAAGAAAAAAAGAAGAAGAAGAAGAAGAAGAAGAAGTGGACGGCGGATTTTGCAGGAAGGAAGCGGCGAGAAAGAGACGCGAGATGATCGATGATCGTTTCGTCGATTAAGCCATCGATCACCTGCGAACTCGCGTCATCCGACATCGCGCATTGTTGGTGACAGCCTAACTTCCAGTAACCTAAACGACGAACGGTAGCAAACACTCTCGAGAAGTTTTCACGACGAAGAGATTCGGCTAGAATCACGAATGTTAATGACGCAGTTGATTAAATTTAATTGCGACTCGAGCGATTAACTCAAGACGTGGTTTCTCTTCGAATGACTGTTGCTTGAGAGTTAACTCGAGGCAATTTTTATTTTAGAGAAACGTGTAACGTACGAGTGAAGGAAGTTGGTGTTTGCTTTGCACGCGAAACACGTTGTTGTACGTTGAATAAAAATGATAGGAAATGTTAGTTAAATGGAATTAACTACGTTTCTCTTAATTAAAATTCGCGTATTTTGTTTATTGGTCGTCGATCGTTCGTCTTGATCATCGTGACAAGATTCTGGCTTTCAACGTTACTTTTAATTTCCGTTAAAATGTTACATCCGTCTTCGCCACAGATTTGCAACTTTTATTTTCAAAGGAAATGTACGAGTGAAGAAAATGATGTTTGCTTTGAACATGAAGCGTTGAATAAAAATTAACAGGAATGTTAGTAAAACAGAGATAGTTTCTCTTAATTGCTCGCGAAATTCGTGGATTTCATTTACCAATCACATTTATCTTGATTATGAGATTTTAACCTTCAATGTTAGTTTTAATTTCCATTATCTGTCTCGACTACAGAATTGTAATTTTTCACTTTTTTGTCAACAAAATATCTGTTACATTAATAACGACTTGAAATAATAACAACTTATTAATTATAATCGAAATTAATAACGACTTATTAAAAACGACTCTCAGTTTTTTTTTTTAAGAAGCTATCAAACAGCTCTTTTGTCTAATGTTACACAATGTTTACTCGTACTTCTTTCGGTAAATTCGACGACAAATGTCGTCGCAACGCAGTTGAAGATCGCGCGAATTTCCACTCGTATTCAAGACCAAAAATACCATTTTCTCCAAAAGCACTCGCTCGACCATCCGTTGCGCCATTCGATATATTTTTCTCCCTATCGCGGGTTCCCGCAAGCACGAAACGGAAACTGATACGCCAGAAGGAAGGTGGTGCAAGAGCCTGCAGAGCTCTGACCCACTTTAGCAGCTTCTATATCGGCGAGGGAACAAAACGGAATGCTACCAATGCTACGGGCTACTTTCACTCGGAAGGCTCGTTCCTCGTTCACAGCCGGGACCGAGATCGCGCGCGCTGCGGTGATCGATTGTTTTCGAAAGGTCGCCGCCTGGTCCTCCATTAATCAGTTTCCCATTAATACCTGTGGGCGACTCTCTTTCTGGAATCTAGCTAAAAGGTCACCGCCGATCGTTTTATCGCTTTTCGAAATATCGCTCATCCTCTTCGTCGATACTGTGTGCTCTCCTCTCGCTGTCTGGGGATAACTCGCGTTTGGGGTAGAAAAAGAGACAGAGAGAAAGAGAAATAGAGAGAGAGAGAGAGAGAGAGAGAGAGAAAGTTGGGGGACAGGAACAGACAGGGGCAGACGGACGGAAAATATTTACGTTTCATTACGTGTTCCGTGGAAGCCAATTAGCGCGAGTCGCCAACGCGAAAAACGTGAAAGGGAGCTCTTTGTGTCCCTTCGTTTTATGCCGGCATCAACACACTCACTCTGGACGATTCGTCAAGGTTACGCAATCCCGCGGCAACGATTGGAAATGGAATCCTTTCCTCCGCGGGCCGGGTCCTCGATTGTTTCAGATTTCGAGACCTGGCCCGCGTGTTTCCAAGGTTCAATGACCGACCGTCAGAAGAAAGGGTCCGCGGGAATTCGTGAATAGAGTGCTCTTCAATTAGCGATTGTTTTTGGTACATTGTTCGGATAATGAGGATTTCAAGTTTGTCCACGAAGAGGCAAGTATACCGAAGAAGCGATCATCTTCATCCCCTTTACTGTGTAACTTTATTTATACATTATCTACAGTTGTTATATAAATATGATCTATGATGTAATATGATTCAATGTATTTTTAATGATATGTTCTTCAATTAGTATCTTTTTGGAATATTGCCTACATGTTTTGGTATTGAAAACTTGTATTAGCTGATCCGTGAGTATTAAAAGTATAAACTAGTAAATGTGCATTTTCAATTCCTTCACTGTACAATGTCATTTATATATTGCACACACTCTCTTTTTACTCCATTAACACTATCAAAGTAGCAAAAACCAATTCATAATTTTTGTTAGACATTTTGTACATCTAACACAGCGTGTTTCCAGAGATATAAATGATTTCTCGCAAAAATAAAAGCTTCTGTATCCTACTTATCCTGCATTGCATTTTTTCTTTTTCTTCAACTTTCCCGATGGAAATTCCACGCAATTTTAATTAACGGTAGTTCTGGCATTCAATTTTCTAAAATATTCGACGTTCCAATGAAAACTGGAAGTAACAAAATATAAATTCAATCACGTTGCACGATTCCTCCATACCAAACGAAACCGATCGAAATCGCATTCCGTTGCTTATGTTATATTCCACGCGAGAAGTCCAACTTCCTGTCAAAAGTCGTCGCGCAAGTCCCCCCCGAGAGGAATCGTCTCCCTCTCTCGCGAGACATTTTCGCTGTTCGTCCGGCAAAACATCCAACGTCACTCGTGCTCGCGGTCGTTCCATAAATCTTGAAGAACGTCCGATCGGCAAGAAACGGACACGCGGGGTCACCGGATATCGTTTAGACGGTCGCTCGATACGAAAAGGGCAAAGAAAAAGAATCGTCGTCGCCGTCGTTGCTCGTACGTCACTTCCCAATGGAAAAAGAGATCCAGGACGAAAGCTGAGAAAGCTGGCGGCCGCCGGGGCCAGGGATTATGCGAATTCATTAACAAACGTGTCGTGCAATCAAACTGCTATTTACCAATCGATTAATTCAACGAACCGAACGATTTACGGCCACGTAGCACAACTACCGTCGCTGCCTGTTACCGCGCTCTTTCCCTCTCGTCTTTTCTTGCCTCTCGCTTCGTCTGTTGTGCGTTCCTCCGTTTTTTTCACAGTCTTCTCTCAGCGTGCTCTAGGACAGTATCAGCGTGGAAACTTTAACCTATAATGCTGGCAACGCAGCGTGGGACTCTCATCATTTCACGTGACAATTATACGAGAAATATGTGAATTACACGAGACGAGGTTTGAGAAAGTCACGTGATAAATATGTGAATTACACGAGAAAATTAGAACACGAGAAGATACGATGAAGGAAAGAAGAAAGCTAGAGAGAAAATTACATTGGATGTTTGAGATCTTTCGATGGAAAAATCACGAGTAATGCAACTTTGTTTATCGGTGAAACTACTTTGGGGAATTGTTTGACGTCTTGGAATCGAGATGTGAATGTTATTCATTTCATGCAAGTATGATTGTCGTGCAGGCGATTGTGGATTGCCAGGGGGGTGATTCTTGAGCAAACTGAAATGAACAAGCTGTGTACGCCAGTTGCTTTCATGCTTCTCCTATTCGTTGTTGTGAATTAGAAAATCATGCGTGCCGCACGGTTCCCTAAGCTTTACAGCCATGAAACAGGGACGGACGAGAGGTTACTACTTGAACGAAAAGCATGGAATTGAACGATTTTGAAGTGAAAAAGGCTATATGACGGGTATTGTATGTGGAAACTAATCCATTCGTTTCGTCGTGAATAGTATGCTGTTAAAAAACCTCTTCGCTGTACGTTAGGATTTTTTGTTGTTTAGAAATATTTCGTAGTAAAAAGATATCAGTTTTAGAAAATTTTTATTTCTGGAGAAAACTTTTATTTCTTGAGACACTCCACGTTACAATTCACATGATGTAAAGAATAGATCTTTTTTTTTTAGTGACTCAAAATCATATGAATTATATTTTATATGATCTAAAGCTTATGGCCTAAAAAAGTATATGGCTTATTTATAAATAACAAATTTAAAGTATATAGCTTATTTATAAAAATTGATAGATGGAATTAAATTTTACAT